AGGCAATGTTTCACTCATACATATAAAATCATAGATTTCTGAGGAATCTGACCTTACAAATTAACAGAGTCTGATTAAAGGGAAAGCTGATTAACTGGGTGGGAAGGAGAGCATAGGGAAGACTGTTTACAGATAAACACAATGGAAATGGAAGTGCTTCAGGAGCACTGTGATGGGTGTAACCAGATTGATGGGTGTAACCAGATAAACCTAAGCTTCTTGTACTCCAACAGGATCTGTCCTAGGAGCGGCTTTCCCTGAGGCTAAGATTTCTGCCCCTATTGATTGTGACCGCACTTATGTGTAATTGTTCCCCCAATTCCTCATGGAGAGAGATATAATGAGACTGTAGAATGGGCAAAGGGGGCAGAGGCAGAGAAGAGAGACTGGTGTGGATGGAGAGAGGATTGGAATAAACTGCAACTAATACCAGCCAGTCTGGCCCTCGTTCCTTCCTTTGCCTGCCCATCGCCATCGACCTCCCCGGGGTGGGGGAAGAAAGGTGAGACTACCGAACAAGGGCGGCGGGAGAGATAGAGCCACCGCCGCTGCGTGCCGGGCCCCTTTCTTGAGTTTACACACTTATCCAATTACTTCTTTTTGGGTCATGACAGAATTTCTCCATGACCGTGCTCTTATAAGTTTTGTGGTGCTTGGCCTGTCCCTTTGTGATGCTAATGTAGGCAGACTGGCAGGCAGATAGGGAAGGCCCCCCATCCCAAGGCAATGGCAGTAAATTTCCTGGGAAGTAATAGCCCTGACATCATGGAGAATTGGTTCCAGTCTGTAACAGACCCTGAGGAGGCTGGACCAACCCTTCCAACAGAAGCTCCTGCAGAAACAAAAGGACAGGAAAGGAATTTCAAAGACCATTACCACTCCCAAACCCCTTGGTAATATCCCTAGCAGCAGATTTTCACCAGGTAGAAGCCCCACATGGGGGCAGGTTGGAGAAATCCTATAAAGGCCACCGTGAACAAAGGAAGTGTACACACATGCTTCCTGAGCCCATGTGCTGCCTGCCCCATGTGGCCGTGCACATGTGGTGCTTGATCACATGTGTCACCCGCATCTCCCCTTTTGAGATGTGTACTTTCATGCTTTCATGTCTAATGCTGGAATATGTGTAGGGGCTCTCTCCACCCTTGCAGAAGCCTGGCTTCTCTCTTGAGACGTCTCTCTCCCACTTTCTTTCCCTCCTTCCCTTCAAAGCCTCCAAATAAAAACTGTGTAACTCCTTGCACATCTACTCCTGAAATTCCTTTCTGCTAGGCAAGACAAGGACCCAGTAACCCTGGGTCTCGGGTGGCAGAGACGGGGAGAAAGTGACCATCTTTCTCCTCCCCAATTCACATAACCCACCCTTGGGGCCCACCAACATTAATGCCAGGGTAGCTCACAGCTTGCCCTGGGTCCATCCAAGTCTCTTCATCGGGAGCCTACTTTTGGGGTGCTAGGAACTAAGGGTAAGTGAGGCTTAAGTCAAGTAAATATGACAGATTCTCAAAAGTAAATATTAGGAATCAATTAACTCTCAAGTAACAAAGAGCATAGCATCAACTGTCTTCCTGTGTCTATAAAAAAAAGGACATTGCTCTGAAGTAAACTGCAGAGACATAAAGCAAAGAGAAAAGCAATATTACACTTGATCACTTGGCATCCCATTACTCATTGATTTGTTCGCGTCAGCAGGCGCCAGTAACGTCTCCATTCGTCCCTGTCACGTGCTGGTGTAGCCCAATGGCGTCTGCTCGCTCTAGGAACACAAAGAGCCGCAAACCGATTGTTCAGGGTCTTGACAAAGAAGTTTGACCATTTTGTAGATGGGTGGCCGTGCATCCTTTTGACATCCTGTTGAATCCAGTCGGTAATGGCTCTAGTCCAGCGGTCATCTCCAAATCACATTATGTGTCCAGCCCATCTGATTTTCGACGCCTTGGCAAACGAGACAGCATCCCTGATTCTGGATCGTCGATGGAGGTCGGAACTCTGGATTCTTTCTCTCACTTGAGTGAAGCGTGACTCCAAGCATAGCTCTTTTGATTCCTCTTTGGGAGTCCCGAATAGCGTTCTCATCCTGTTTTTGTAGGCCCCAGGTCTCTGAGGCGTATGTTAATGCAGGGAGAACAGTGGAATCGAAGAGATGTGCCCAGAGCCGGAGGTTCTTCGTCCTCTTAGCTATTTCTTCGAAGTTCTTGAAGGCATTCCAAGCCACTCTCTTCCTCCTGTACAACTCAGGTGCCAAGTCATTCGTCAGGGGGTGTGGTGGCGCAGCAGTGGGTGAAGGTGAATGTGGGGGTGCTGGGCCACATCTGCAGCGGCAAGATGGCGTTGGCGCGGGTGCTGAGCACCACAGCCGCCATGGCCACCTTCGACAAGAGCCATGAGCACGGCATCACGCTCGACCTGGGCTTCTCGTGCTTCTCGGTGCCGCTGCCCGCAGGGGCCGCGCCTGGTATGCTGCAGCTACTGCATGTCACGCTGGTGGACTGTCACCTCCCTCATCAGAACCATTATTGGTGATGCTGCCATGCTCCAGGCCCTTTCTGGATGCTCCGGCCACAGAACCAGATAAGCAGAACTTTGTGACCTTGGACTCCAGGCTCAACAGACCTAGAACAGAGATCCTCTGCCTGCTTCCACCAATCTCCCGTGACCCAGGGATCACACCCAGAAGCCCCACCCTACCCTGCCCTGTCTGCTTCCTCCAACCGCCAGCGACCCAGGGATTACACACAGAAGCCCCACCCTACTGGAGCCAGATAAATACCTCATTGGCAGACCTCCACTACCTCCACTTCCCAGCCATTGCCACGCTCCAGGCTGCTTTCTGGACACATCATAAGACACTTAATACTCATCTTCCAAGATTACTGCACTATATTTGATGGGGTTCAATTATGGTTTGAACCATGGGAACACCTGCAAGGTGTTCCCTAAAAGCCTCTATCCCTCTCGAAAAGCCTCACAAGCTACCAAAAGTATCCCGCCCACACGACAGAGCTTGGCAAGCTATCCATGGCATTGCCAAGAACAGTAAATATTACACTTGCAAATACAAAATCTAGAATCTCCTGAGGAATCTGACTTTATAAATCACAGTGTCTGATTAGGGAAAACGATTGATTAACAGATAGGGGAAGCAGAGCACAAAGGAGAAGTTAAAGATGAATGAATGGGAGTGCTCCAGGAACATTGTGATGGGTGTTAATCAGTAAACCTAAGCTCTTTGCTGTGGAGGAGAAAGAATTGACCAATGTTATCCAGTAGCCATACATTTCAGGAGGAGACCTGGGCACCTCCTTCCATGATAAGTTCATTTTAGATCTAAGATTTCTCTGGGCCCAGGAATCAATACACTAAAAACCTAACCTGACTACCTCAGATCGACCAGGTTCTGAGTTGTTGTGTAGACTTGGGTGACATTTTGAGTTCTCTATCCTTCTTACCCCTCTGCTTTCAAGGGTCAAAGAAACATTGGAGGTCAGAACTTTATATAGACAGAGTTTATTAGTGCACAGGGCTAAATTAATATGGGAGGGATTGGCGTCAACATCTCTGAATCAATTGTGGAATCTACCATTTGTCTCTCTCATGTCATCGCATTAAAGTCTTAGGTTTATTTAGGTTGTTTCTGTACTTGTTAGGCTCTAGGGAAGTGAGAGTTCAGTAAGCTTCCTTAGATACACTCTCAGAGGTGTGTTATGAAGTTTGTGGTGGCTGCATTTGTTCTCTGTGGATGCTGAGATGTGATTTACTGTTCATGACTCGCAAACAGGGCTTCTCCCCTGTGTGTGTCCTCTGGTGTCTGAGGAGACTTGACCTTCGACTGAAGCCTCGCCCACATTCCCTGCAAACATAGGGCTTCTCCCCTGTGTGTGTCCTCTGGTGTCTGAGGAGATTTGACTTTAGACTGAAGCCTCGCCCACACTCCCTGCAAACATAGGGCTTCTCCCCTGTGTGTGTCCTCTGGTGTGTGAGGAGACTTGACTTTAGACTGAAGCCTCGCCCACACTCCCTGCAAACATAGGGCTTCTCCCCTGTGTGTGTCCTCTGGTGTCTGAGAAGATGTGACTTTCGACTGAAGCCTCGCCCACACTCCCTGCAAACATAGGGCTTCTCCCCTGTGTGTGTCCTCTGGTGTGTGAGGAGACTTGACTTTAGACTGAAGCCTCGCCCACACTCCCTGCAAACATAGGGCTTCTCCCCTGTGTGTGTCCTCTGGTGTGTGAGAAGATGTGACTTTAGACTGAAGCCTCGCCCACACTCCCTGCAAACATAGGGCTTCTCCCCTGTGTGTGTCCTCTGGTGTGTGAGGAGACTTGACTTTTGACTGAAGCCTCGCCCACACTCCCTGCAAACATAGGGCTTCTCCCCTGTGTGTGTCCTCTGGTGTGTGAGGAGACTTGACTTTTGACTGAAGCCTCGCCCACACTCCCTGCAAACATAGGGCTTCTCCCCTGTGTGTGTCCTCTGGTGTCTGAGGAGATTTGACTTTCTACTGAAGCCTCGCCCACACTCCCTGCAAACATAGGGCTTCTCCCCTGTGTGTGTCCTCTGGTGTGTGAGGAGACTTGACTTTAGACTGAAGCCTCGCCCACACTCCCTGCAAACATAGGGCTTCTCCCCTGTGTGTGTCCTCTGGTGTCTGAGATCTGATCTAACAGTGAAACCTTGACTAGGCGTTACATCCTTGCCTCTTATGACTCTTGGCATTCCTATTCCTGAAAATACTCTGCATGTGTCCTTTGGATTTTCTTTCTGTCCTATATTAATCTTGTCCTCCATTATTGTCTCATGTTTATTCGAGCTCCCCATTTTACTGCTATGTAGGTTGGGAAAGGCTGTTGAAATCCTTTTTTGCCCCATTCTCTTAGGCAAAGGTTTGGACTTTCCTTTGGACTTATGACTTTCAAGTCTGTCATTCCATGGTTTGTCAAGTTTGTCATTACATGGATCAGAATGTTGATGCCACTGATTCTGATCACCTGGACAGAAATTCACTGATTTTGGGTGTGCTCTTGCAGATGTTCCTGGGAGGATTAGAGAGGGATGACTGTGTTCCACGTGATGACCGAGGAATTTCTGATTAGAGAAGGCGAGAGAGCAGCAGGGACATGGATATATCTCAGGCTTTAGTTCTGCTGAAAGAGAAGGTTTTGGTTAGAGTAGATGTTGACAAGGCTGTTTGCATCATAGCTCTGTATTCTACTAAAACCTGTCCTAGTTTTTCTAATTTTGTTGATAAAGCAAGCTATGCCTTCATGCCATTTGTAGCCACTGAATATTCTTGCTAAATTCAGAAAGCATATATCTAGAAACTTTTTGACAAAAGGTCTGCAAGTGACCTTTCTATATACAAGCACCCTGAAGTTATTAACCCTCTGATGCTGTTTATAAAGATCTTTTATGTCCCTGAGATGTAATGACACTTGATTCCAGGAGGTGAGATTATACCTAGTGACTTTCTCTGAAGGGAAAGGTATTGATTTGGTTAGGAAGCACCTAGCTTGGACTTGTGCCAATGTGGGAGGCAGAATAGGGATGTGATTAGAAAGATTATATGTGAACAAATCTAAAAAGTCATATTTGGGGGCTAGAGAGATAGTACAAGTTTTAAAGCACTGGCCTTTCATGTGGCCAATCCCAGTTCAGTCCCCAACACTACATATGGTCTCCCCAACACTGCCAAGAGTGATCCCTGAGCACAGATCCAAGAATAAGTTCTAAACACTAATGGGTGTGGCACAATCCTTGTCCATCCCAACAAACCCCCAAAAGTTATATTTAGGGCCAGGACTATGACTCAAGTAGGTAAGGTCCTAGCTTTGATCCCCAAACACTGCATGGCCTTTTGTGTACTGCTGGGTGTGACCTTACAACCGCTATTACAATAAACAAAGTGGGAAGAAGTACCAATTCTGAATAGGGGTTAGATCCCAATACTGTATGATTTCACAGTACTTCTGGGACTCAGTCCCAAGAACTGCACCTAGAGTAGCTCCCGAGAACCACTGAGTTTCACACCCAAAGCCCAAAGCACAAAGTGAAGAATTAAAAAAAAAGCATGGAGTCTTCTTCCTCCAGGAAGTGTTCCATATTAGATGAGAGAATTTTCTAGGCCCCACTTACTAAGGGATGAATTCCTGCTGCTTCAACTAGACCATGGATTACTCTCTTAGGTTTCAGCAAATCAGAAAGTTAAATAGACCCTCCCTTAAGCCTTATAGCAAGTTTCCCATTTTATTTCATTCAGTCTTATATAATAGGAAATTTAGTTTTATTTACTTGTAAAAAATTTTATTTTTTCAGTTTTTCAGTTTTTGCCAGTTGTACTCAGGGTTACTACTGGCTCAGTGCTGGGGACCACACATTGCCAGGGATTAGACACAGGACTCCTACATGCAAAGATGTACTCCAGTAGCTAGAGAGAGAGAACAGCGAGTAAGGTTGGCCATGAGTGATTCCTGAGCATGGGAATAAGCTCTGCTCACTCCACCCCCAAAATAAAAACAAACAAACAAAAAAGGAAAATCCTACGTTTCTGCATAAATTGGAGGCCCCAAGCCTTTTACGTGTCTGTCCAAGCTCCCTCCTTACCCTCATACCCTCTGTGCTTCTTTCCCTTCACTGGCCTCCATCACCCTCATAATGCCTATGTTCTCCTGCTCTCAACTTGCAGTGCTCATTTGCTCCCCCAAGCAAATCCAAAATCTTTTTTTCACTTTCCTTATCTTTGCTTTTTGGTGTCCACCTCTCCAGTCTTCTTGTTCAGCAGAACCCACCTTTTTCTGCTGTCAGTTCACTCTTCCACTTGCTGCCCCATTTGATGCCTAGTTCTTGGCCATACTCATCTCCATACCAGACCAGCAGTTCACAGCCTGGCTTGATGATACGGCAGGTTCGGTAAAAGATCTGCCTGTGATACTGAAAGGCCACTAGATTCTGCTCCTCATCATCCCTGGCACAGTTCACATATCTGTGATTGAGGAAGTAACAGAAAGCACATCATAGTCATAAGTTCCCATTTTCTAAAGCTGTTTCCACTTTGATTACCCATAAAACCCAGTGACCAAAATATAAAACAAAACCCGGTGTTTGGGGCCAGAGTTACAGTGTTTCAGGTAGGGAGCTTGCCTTGCATGCAGCCCACCGTGTTCTATCTCCAGCACCCTATATCATCCTCTGAAAATTTCCAGGAGTGATTCCTGAGTGTAGACCCAGGTAAGCCCTGAGCACCAGAGGGTGTGCTTCCCCTCACAGAAAACAACAAGAACAACCAAAAAAAAAAAAAAACCACCAGTGTTTGAGGGGCTATACACCAGCATGCTCCAAGTTTTCAATGACACTGGAATGGGGGGATATGGGGGTGGTTACCTCTGTCTTAACACAATAGCATAAACAAATAAAAGTTTCTTTGCTTTCGAAATCCTCTGACAAAATGAGAACCTTTAGGGCAGTTCTAAGTCTAGGACCAGATGCTGCTTATCCCTGTTCTAGTTTGTTGCCATCACAGTTCCCTTTAGTTACCCTTGCACTGTGAATTTACAAGATATTAGGAAAACCATAGTTTAATAGTCCTAAAATCAATTATTTAACATCTGTCTCCAATAAATACCACAGAATTTACTGGAGACAGATGAGGGTTATGAGGTCAAAGACGAGGACATAGTAAGGATCAATACATGCTGAATAGATCAATTAAAGTGTGAATCCAGTGTTCTTGGAAAATCTAGGCTCCCCAGGATTTTAATTTTTATATACATATTTTTTTTCTAGCTAGCACAGTGGGTAGGGCGTTTGCCTTGCATGCACCCAACCTGGCCGACCCTGGTTCGATTCCTCCATCGCTCTTGGAGAGCCCAGCAAGCTACCGAGAGTATCTTGCCTGCATGGCAAAACCTGGCAAGCTACCCATGACATGTTCGATATGCCAAACACAGAAACAACAAGTCTCACAATGGAGACGTTACTGGGCCCGCTAGAGCAAATCCATGAGGACAGCAACAGTGACAGTGACAGAGATTTATATTTTAAAGACACAGAGTATCTTTTATTCTCCATCTTTCTCTAGAAAGGAAAGAGCACAGTGTGGAGAAACAAAGAGAAAGAAGGAAGAGTATCAAAGGAGACCATTGACACGCAGAGAACTGCTTCTCTGTGTCTGTAGCACTGTGCTCCTGTTTACGCTTCCCATGAGCATTTTATGTTCATACAGAGTTTACTTAGTAGATAGTGCTCATAAGATCATCCCTTCAATTCATGTGCTAGTACTTAAAAGGTGAGGCTCCATCAATCCACGGAGGTACGTTGGGGGGGAATGTGGAAAGGCAGAGGACAGGGAAAAATGTGCTTCTCACCAGCGAGGAGTACCCACTGTTGGCTGATGAGAAGGAAAGAAAGGAACATAGGCTTGTGAGAGAGGAAGTCCTCTCTGGAATTTAGAGCCTGTTGGTCTTACCTCATCCAATTTGCCAAAGATTCATCCACTCCATCCACATACTCATAACAGTTTCTTCCTTTGGTGATCTAGAAAAGGAAGAGCCTTTTTTGGTGGGTAGGGAATAGAAGAATGACATCCTCTATTGTCAGCAATGCTTTTCGCCTGCACAGCTGAAATCTCTAATTGAGACCACATGATATGATTCTTGGTCTTATCCAACCATCTCAGTTGGAATGCTTACTTAGAGCAGGGAGCCTCAAGGAATGAACTACTTCTCTGTGTCTGTAGCACTGTGCTCCTATCTACCCTTCCCATAGGCACTTTATGTTCATGCAGCGTTTACTCAGGAGATAGTGCTAATAAGATCGTCCCATCAATCCCTGTGCTAGCACAAAAAAGATGAGACTCCATCAATCCATGGAGGTGTGTCGGGGGAAATGTGGGAAGGCAGAGGACAGGGAAAAATGTGCTTCTCACCAGCCAGGAGTACCCACTATTGGCTGCCTCTTCATCATCTGTGATCTGACCCTCATAAGGGCCAAAGTGCAGACCCAGTGGCAAGTCAGATGCTTCATTCCATATTCCAAGTCCAGCCTCAGGGATGCCTGATGGTCCGATCCTCAGTCCATGTGGTAGAGTGAGGGCTGAACGGTTAGAATGCCCCTTGGCTACTGCATTGTCCTTTACAAATATAGGTGATCCATGAACAGAGCATTTGTTGATAAAGAAGTTCTGACAGCTCTCACAATCTGAACAGAGGGCAGAGGGATTAGGGAAAATATAATACACACTTCTGGGATCCAAAGAGGTAGTACAAGAGTTAAGACACTTGCCTTGACTATAACTAATTCCAGCTCTATCCTTGGCACCACACAGTCCCCTGAAGAGAGTCAGGAGTAATTCCTGAGCACTGTCAGGTGTGACCCAAACTACACGCCCCCACTGAATACATACTGCAGAACATAACTTCTAGAAGAGCCCAGCAATGACATCATTGGGATCAAAGATGAGGGGGAAATAATTGTACCAAGATATATAGTCTTTTTTACAAGTGAGCAAAAGGGGCAACTTACATAGGTAATCATCATCCTGGGGTTCGCTGACCTCCTGATATACATGGCCCTTTCTTTCTCTTAAGCTGTACATCTTCACCTCGGGCTCCTTTCTCCTGAGTTCTGTGTTGCAGAACAGGAGAGTCAGATGGATGACATTCTGGAATGTTAGTTTCTTTTTTCTTTTCTTCCAATAAATATTTAATATCTTCCTACCAAATCATGTCCCTCTATATATTCTCTCTCCCCTTTCCCTATCCCTTAATGACTGGTTTAGAGGAAAGGAGTCCACATTGACCACAGATGTCTAATTCAATTTTAATTACCATTTACTTCATATATCTATATAGTAGCTGAGCCACACACCTAGTACTCCATTATTTCATAGACTTTTTTTTTTTTTTGCTTTTTGGGTCACACACGATGATGCTCAGGGATTACTCCTGGCTCTGCACTCAGGAATTACTGTTTGTGGTGGTGCTTGGGGGATCATATGGGATGCTGGGGATTGAACTTGGGTTGGCCATGTGCAAGGCAAACACCCTACCCGCTGTGCTATCACTCCAGCCCCTATTTTATAGACTTTTTATTTAAAAAGTTTTATTCTGGGCTAGTTCAGTGATTGAATTGACTGGGGTATAGCCCCCATTACCACATGTCCTCTTGAGCACTGTTGGATGTAGGCCTGGAAGTCCCCAAGCACCACATATTGTGGCCTGGGAGGGTGGTCTGGATAATCTCTAGCATCGCAAGGCCCAAGCTGCACCACATCCTCAGACTTCAACACTGAACTGTAGGCCCAAATGGTTGTGAATTTCAGAACCCCAGAGCCTCCTGAGCACTGTTAGGGAGGGGCCCTGCTATTTATTTGCAGGGCTGGAGAGACAGTTCAAAGGGCTGAATAGTCCCCTGAGCACCCCTGGGAACATTTCCTGAGTACACAGCCAGATTAATTAGCTGCCAAGAACTACCAGGTATGTCACAACTCCCCCCTCCCCAAGAGTAAAGAAGATTTATGCACAAATTTTATGTTGAGGAACAGTATGTGTTGTGCAGTGAATCAAAGCCTGGACAAACAAGAAACTATGGTTCCTATGATTGCAGACGGATTTACTTGACAACTTGCCTGTATGCATCCTCTGACATTTAATTTTTTCAATCTCTGTATAAACTAAGGGGTGGAGAGATAGCACAGCCAATAAGGTGCTTGCCTTGCACACAGCTGACCTAGGTTTAATTCTAGCACCCCATAGGTTCCCCTAAGTACTTCTAGGAGTGATCCCTGAGCACAGAGCCAGGAGTGACCCCTGAGCACTGCTGGATGTGTCCCCAAAACAAACAAATCAATGACTATATGTACTTTACATACTAGTATTCATTGAATATATAAAAATTTTCCGTGACCCTTGAACTAACTTTAGGACTCCATTTAGCCTGCTTAAATCAACGACAATACAAAGTACATCCCACAGAATTAGGGAATGGTTTTTAGAAAGTTTAGAAGGACTGAAGATTCCAAATGATCACTTACCCAATTTTGGTTTAGAAAACTGTCCAGAGGTACTAGCTTCTCCAGGAGGGGGCAGTGGTTTCTGGGCTTGCTTTATGCACCTCGTGTTAAGCAGATTACCTGTTCCTGATAATTCCTTTGAGCTAGATTCATTACTAATGGGTGTCCTGGACGTTCCCTTCAAGGTGAGTCAAATATTAAAAGACAACGTGCATTTCTTTAATCACTTAGCTCTCATACTATGTTTTTATATGCATGAATTTAATATGTCAGCAGTATTGTCAATACCTAGAGCTTAAATTTTATAGGGAAAAGAAAGAACCTAAATGGTATTGAATATGAGACTAGAATCCATGTCTTAAGATCTTTTCCCTTCACCTTTCTTTCAGAATTATTCTCCACAGGGCTGGAGTGATAGTACCACAAATATGGCACTTGCCTCGCATGCAGCTAACCCAGGTTTGACCCCTGGCACCCCATATGGTCTTGAGGCCCTCCAGTAGTGATCCCTTAGTGCAGAGCCAGGAGTAAGTCCTGAGCACCAACATAAAACAAAACAAAACAAAAAAAGAAAGAAATGGGAGACCTTCTGTAAGTGTATGAAAAAAGGGAAATTGAAAATTACAAAGGACTTGGGCTGGAGTGATAGCACAGTGGGTAGGGTGTTTGCCTTGCATGTGGCCGATCCGGTTTCGATTCTCAGCATCCCATATGGTCCCCTGAGCACCGCCAGGAGTGATTCCTGAGTGCATGAGCCAGGAGTAACCCCTGTGCACCGCCTGGCATGACCCCCCCCCCACCCAAAAGAAAACTACAAAGGACCGAGCATCTGAAAATTAGGTGAAGGACAAGGGCAAACCATTTGGATTGAATGGTTTTTGAATGCTGGTAATTGAACTTGGGTTGGCCACGTGCAACACAAGTACCTTTCCTTCACTAGTATCACTTGGCCCTCAGGAGTCACTCTTGGAAATGCTTAGGGATTCCTCTGGAGTGCCAGGAATCAAACCCAGGCCAGCTGTGTGCAAGGCAAGCACTTTAACTCCTTTATTATCTCTAACCTCTTTTATTCAGTGTCAAGGCAAGCAGGCTAAGCAAACGATTTTAAAAAACATGCATGCTTCTTACCTTAGTTTGCTTACCTGGCATCACATATAGTCCTCTGAATCTGACCAGGAGTGACCTCTAAGCATAGACCAAGTAGTACCTCCTAAGCAACCCCGTGCACATGACAACTTGGGCCCTCTAAAACCCCAAACCTAACTACAGGCTAACTAATACAGCTGGCAGATTAACAGTACTGCAAACCAGGCCACCACATCAACAATAAAACAAGAACAGAGAGTGTTTAATAATATATAACAGGGGTGGGGGGAAATATATAACATGTATAATGTAGCGGGGTGGAGCGATAGCACAGCGATAGGGCGTTTGCCTTGTGCGCAGCCAGCTCAGCCGAGCCAGGTTTGATTCCTCCGCCCCTCTCGGAGAGCCCAGCAAGCTACCAAGAGTATCTTGCCTGCGTGGCAAATCCTGGCAAGCTGCCCGTGATGCATTCGATATGCCAAACACAGTAACAACAAGTCTCAAAATCGAGACGTTACTGGGTCCGCTCGAGCAAATCGATGAACAATGGGAGGACAGTGTTTGTTTTGTATAATGTAGTATTATAAGATATGAATAAATTTATTAATTATTAATATATAATATTAAACATATTTGCTCGAGCAGGCCCAGTAACATCTCCTTTGGAGACTTTTATTGTTACTGTGTTTGGCATATTGAGAATACATCACGGGTAGCTTGCCAGGCTCTGCCGTGCGGGCGAGGTACTCTTGGTAGCTTGCCGGGCTCTCCGAGAGGGGCGGAGGAATTGAACTCGGGTCGGCCATGTTGGCTGCGTGCAAGGCAAATGCCCTACCGCTGTGCTATCGTTCCAGCCCATTAAACATATTATATAACACAATTCCTTCTGTGTTGCTATTAGCAATATTAGAAATAGTGACACAGCACATTGTGCTAAAATAATCAGGAAAGTTAGGCAGAAGATCCTAGGATACTCTGCCCATTCTCCTACTCTTACCTGGGTTTAAATCCACAATGAATTTTCTTGTCAATAGTATTTGGGAAACACTCACCTTCTGGTGTTTATTCTGCTCTGCTCTGAAGGCCACCCAAAGAGATTTGACTAAAAGATGAGGAGAAAGAAATGTTTTGGTTTGTAAATATTTCCAGACTCTAAAGATTCTTATTACTGGACACAGAATTCTGAACCAGAGATTGAGTAATGCAAGGATTTGCCAAAGATGTTTTTTCTTTTTACTTTTGGGTCACAAGTGGCAGTGCTCAGGAGTGACCCCTGGTGGTGGTGCTAGGGGACCGTATGTATAGGTTAGGATTCTGGTGTTGGGGTTTGTGTTTTTCAGCCACACACAACAATGTTCAGGCATCTGTACTGTTATATTCATTACAGCACTATTCACAGTATCCAGAATCTGGCTATTCCTGGGTCTGTGCTCAGTCACTCCTGGCCTTACTTGAACACTTTATGTGGTATGTGGTTGTGTATGTAACACCCACCTGTCCTTCGCCAACTACAAGACCAAGATGACTGCCCTCTGACGTCCTGATGGATCCATCACATCCTCCAGAATGGCAATGGAGAAGATTATCCATGACTTCTACTCAAATCTCTTCGATAGTCATGTCCACTTGCCGACAAACCAAATTCCACAGGATGGATATGTCATTCCCAACGTTCTCCCTTCCGAAATCCGACACGCCATTTCGTCAGTAAAGAAATGAACAGCACCCGGCCCAGACAAGGTGAGACCTGAACACCTGAAGAACCTGCCGTCAGTACTCATCAATACACTGGCTCGGCTCTTCACACGCTACCTGTCTGAATGCAAGGTTCCGTCCCAATGGAAAACCAGCAGGACCGTACTACTGTTCAAGAAGGGAGACATCCATGACATTGGCAACTATCGCCCGATCTGCCTATTGTCTGTCATCTACAAGTTGTTCACTCGAGTCATCCTAAATAGGATTGGCAGAACACTAGATGAAGGACAACCATGCGAGCAAGCCAGGTTCCACAAAGGATTCAGCACCATCGACCATATCCACATGATAACCAAGCTCTTTGAGGTTTCTTGGGAGTTCAAGATGCCGCTCTGTTTAACGTTCATTGATTTAAAGAAGGCCTTTGATTCTGTTGAGACGGAAGCAGTCATTGAAGCCCTAGCCAATCAGGGCATTCAAGCCCAATACATCAGGATCCTCCATGAGCAGTATTGCGGATTCACTACCAGGATCTCACCATTCTACAAAGAAGTGATCGTTGATGTCAAGAGAGGGATTCGGCAGAGTGATACCATTTCACCGAAACTCTTCAGTGCCACCCTCGAGAACATCATGCGACGACTGGAATGGGAAGGAATGGGAGTGAAGATAGATGGTCGGCAACTACACCACCTCCTCTTTGCTGATGACATTGTTTTAATAACACCAAACATCAGCCAAGCGGCACAAATGCTGGCCGACTTTGACCGTGAGTGTGGAAAGGTAGGACTACAACTGAATCTTACGAAGACAATGTTTATGAGAAACAGCCTCATTCCTGATGCCCCATTCGCTCTCAATGGAACGACCATCTCCGAATGCAACAGCTATGTGTACCTAGGTCGAGAAGTTAACATGACAAATGACCTGGCACCCGAGCTGCACAGGAGGAAGAGAACGGCTTGGATCGCCTTCAAAAACGTCGAAGAAATAGCTAAGAGGACGAAGAACCTCCGGCTCCGGGCATATCTCTTTGATTCCACTGTTCTTCCTGCATTAACATATGCCTCAGAGACCTGGGCCCTACATAAACAGGATGAGAATGCTATTCGGGTATCCCAAAGAAGAATAGAAAGAGCTATGCTTGGAATATCACGTTTCACTCAAATGAGAGAAAGAATTCAGAGTTCCGACATCCGTCAACGATCAAGAATCAGGGACGCTGTCTCGTTTGCCAAGGTGTCAAAAATCAGATGGGCTGGTCACGTAATGAGATTTAAAGACGACTGCTGGACTAGAGCTGTTACTGACTGGATCCCACGGGATGTCAAAAGACCGCGTGGCTGCCCACCTACCAGATGGTCAGACTTCTTCATCAAGATCATGAACTATTGGTTTGAGGCTCTTCATGTTCCCAGAGCGAACAGATGCCATTGGGCTACACTGGCACGCGACAGGGACGAATGGAGATGTTACTGGCGCCCGCTCGAGCAAATAGAGGACTAACGGGAAGTTAAGTGATTAATTAAGATTAAGTGGTTGTAGATATTGAACTGGGTTGATCCTATGTGATGCACATGCCCTATCCTGTATATCTTTTTATTTTGTTGGTTTGGTGCTCATTTTCCACCACCACGAATCCCAGTATCCTTCCCCCCCACCCCCCCATTCCCACACTGCCTCTGTGGCAGGGCATTCTCTTTTGTTCTCTCTCTCCTTTCGGGTGCTGTGGTTTGCAAAAGAGACATTGAGTGGCAATCATGTTCGGTCTAGAGTCTACTTTCAGCAAGCTTCTCCCATCCTGAGAGGATCCTCCTAAAACCCTTTATTTGGTGCTCCCTTCTCTATCTGAGATGCCTTTTCCCTTAGCATGTGTGGCTGGCCTACAAGCCATGGAGTAAACCTCCTGGTACTTATCTTGGCTATTCTTGGGTGTCAGTCTCCTATTTTGTTACTTTATGTTCCCCAGATGAACGCAGTCTTTCTATGTCTCTCCCTCTCATTTCGCTTAGCATGATACTTTCCATGTAGTACCACTAGTATGTAAATTTCATGACTTCATCTTTTTTAACAGATACATAGTACTCCATTGTGTAGATGTACCAAAGTTTCTTTAACCAGTCATCTGTTCTCGGGCACTCAGGTTTTTTCCAGATTCTGGCTATTGTAAATAGTGCTGCAATGAACAAACAAGTGCAGATGTCACTTCGACTATACTTTTTTGCCTTTCTGGGGTATATTCCCAGGAGTGGTATTGCTGGGTCAAATGGGAGTTCAATTTCTAATTTTTTGAGAATCGTCCATACTGTTTTCCAAAAGGGATGAACCAGTCGACATTCCCACCAGCAGTGAAGGAAGGTCCCTTTCTCGCCACATCCGCGCCAGCACCGGTTGCTTTTGTTCTTTTGGATGTGGGCCAGTCTCTGTGGTGTGAGATGATATCTCATTGTTGTTTTGATCTGCATCTCCCTGATGATTAATGATGTAGAGCATTTTCTCATGTGCGTTTTTGCCATTCAAATTTTTTTCTTTGAGAAAGTTTCTGTTCATTTCGTTGTCCCATTTTTTTGATGGGGTTGGATGTTTTCTTCTAGTGGAGTTCAACCAGTACTTTGTATATCCTTGATATCAACCCCTTGTCGGATGTGTATTGGGCAAATATCCTTTCTCATTCTGTAGACTGTCTTTGTATTTTGGTCACTGTTTCTTTTGAGGTGCAGAAGCTCTGAAAATATTTTGAAGATCGATGGTTCCATAGGTCTATGCTTGGCGTTACTCTGGGGTTCAAGCAATTCTGTGGGTTGAACTCAGCATATGCTAAGCATATGCTCTATCATGTGTATCTCTATAGTGGTACATTTACTGTTTTAAAAAATTGATTGGGGTGCCAATGAAATATGACAGTGGTAGAGCACAAAGCTAGTATGTGTGAAGTCCTGGGTTTGATTCCCAGCATTGCAAAAGTAAATAAATAAAGAAATAAATAAATGGATCTTTCGGGACCAAAATACTCAGCAAATTTGGAATGGAAGGAAATTATCTTAAATTATTAAGAGCATACACAGAAACCCATTTCATTTAATTACATAATCAATAATTACATAATCAATAATAAAAATGGAGATTTTTTTCTCCTAAGATAAAGAACAAGGCAAAGATGCCTAATCTTTGTTTGGGATATACCTGTCAATATTCAGGGGCCAATCTTGGATCTGTGCTAAGCAGTGACCCATGGCAGTGCTCAGTAGATCAAACACGGTGGTGGAGATTGAACTAGATTAAACTGTATGCAAAGGAAGAACCTGAACGTCTGTACTATGCCACTATTCTTAAGATGACTTTTCTTGGGGGGTGTACACCCAATGATGCTCAAGCGTTACTCCTGGCTCTGCACTCAGGAATCACTCCCTGTGATGCTCAGGGGACCATATGGGGTGCCGGAGATCAAACCCAGATTGGCCATGTCTAATGCAAGTACCTTACACACTACACTATCACTTCAGGCCAAACTGACTCTTCTTTTCACTTCTATCTAACAGTCACAGTCATGGTCCTCCCGTTGCTCATCGATTTGCTCGAGAGGGCCCAGTAACATCTCCATCATGAGACTTGTTGTTACTGTGTTTGGCATATCAAATATGTCACGGGTAGCTTGCCAGGCTCTGCCGTGCGGGCGAGATACTCTCGGTAGCTTGCTGGGCTCTCCGAGAGGGGCGGGGGAATCAAACTCGGGTCGGCCATGTTGGCTGCTTGTAAGGCAAACGCCCTGCCACTGTGCTATTGGTCCAGCCCCTCTATCTAACATAACATTGGAAATCCTAACCAAAGTATTTTTTTTTAATGCCCTCCCATTGTTCATTGATTTGCTCGAGCAGGCCCAGTAACATCTCCATTGGAGACTTTGTTGTTACTGTGTTTGGCATATCGAATACGTCACGGGGAGCTTGCCAGGCTCTGCTGTGCGGGCAAGATACTCTCGGTAGCTTGCCGGGTTCTCCGAGAGGGGCGGAGGAATCGAACTTGGGTCGGCCATGTTGGCTGCGTGCAAGGCAAACGCCTTACCGCTGTGCTATCACTCCAGCCAAAAGTATTAGGTAAGAAAAAGAAAAAGGTAGCGGCATTCAATTTGGAAAGCAAGGAATAAAATTTTATCTATTCACAGATGACATGATCTTATGTGTATAGAATTCTGATGGTCTCTTTTTCTCTCACAAACACACACGCAGACTGGCACACACATACACTGAACACAGACACATACACCTTGTTAGAAGTAGTCAATGAATTGAGCAAAATTACAAAATTCAAATTGAACATTCAAAAACCAACTGCAGGGGCCAGAATTATAAAACTGGACTAATTATCATGCTTTGTATCACTTGTATCACTTGTTATCCTGTTGAC